CATCAACCAATAGTTCTTTATTCATTTAAAGGCAGAGTAAGCAGAGTAAGTTTAGTCTTTTATTTCGTTCCCTAAAAGTAGTATTCATTTATTAGTATTGACCTGACGGATGGATGCTCAGATCTGGGACTTGTCGATTCTACGTTCAATTAGTAATGCCGGTTTCGGTGAAAGTAGGAGTCTCGGATTGCTGCGAGATTGCATCTCATCATATCCGTATTTCTGTAAAGTAAACACCGGATACGTACCGTCTTCAGCATTCCTTTTCAGAAATCTTCCAATTATTTCACTTTAGCAAATGCAGTGTAGTTGTCTTTCGTTTCATGTCCTTTGTTAGGTTTTCTACTTTAGCACTTGAATAAAATTCTCTTGTTTATTTTAAACTAATAAATGGCGTTCAAATTTTTTGATAAATTTTCTTACTGCCTTGTGCACCTTCTTTACCAGCATCACATCTGAATAAATTTCCGGGTGGAGGTGGTCTTTCTTCGCTCATAAGCTTCTTATGTTCATTGTGAAGAACGGTGCTTAATTGGCTACGCCACCCACGTATCCGTCGAATATCTTCCCTTTCTTCTATGAAATGTTTAAGCTGCGTGTTTCGCTCCGCTCGAGCAAAGTACTAAAACGAGATATTAAAATTATTCTATGTGTATGTATCTTAGCGATTTGTGATATGTTACGACGTTAGCCACTGTTGGACGTTCGCCAAGTCCTATTTCTCTGTTCGATCGTTCCCTGCAGGCGGTGTGCATGTCAACCGTGCACCATAACTCCGTGATCGATGGATATTTTAATGCTGTCCGTCATATCAGAATAAAGAATGTCCCGTTCGTCCGACCGGCCGCTCGTCAAATTCAGTCATTCACACCAGTGCGTTGGCCATAGCCATGGCCGTGCTCTCGTTTTTCTGGCCGGATGCGTGTCACCCCGTCGGTCGTCTGCGTCCTAGTCGCCGTCATCCAGTCGTTCGTTGCCGAAGCTTGTTGCACCTGTCGACCGACCGAACAGTCGGTCGGACGGACGGCCATCGCTTTTAGCCTCAAAAAAGCGTTGTCCTCCACAGAGAATTAAATTTGAATTTGTAATTATGATCTGACAGAAGCTTGCATTACGAGTGCGTTGAGAGTCCGTTCGCCCTCTCTCCATCAGCAGCTTTCGTAGTCAGGATCTTCATGGTGTTTCAACCTCTTTTCTTGGTAATTAACTAGTCACCAACAGTGAGCAATGTCACAGATGCGGAGCATAGGTAAACGTGCACCCAGAAAAACGGTGAAACCATAAACGTAATAATAGTGCCTTGGTCGATGCCTTTTGTTTTATATGATTTATAAAACCCAGTCATAGTTCCAGGTTTAAATAAGAAGACGCCAGCTCTTGACTCTTAGCTTTTGAGACCTTCCATACTTTTGCTGTGGTACTATTTGATTTGCACCTGCGCTTGTATCTGATTCTTTGAATTTGCATGTTTATATAGTTTATGTATCTAACGTGTCCTGTTGTGCTGACCAAGCGGATTAGCCCTTTCGTGCTGTTAGTTGTATTTTCTTGGTTTTGCACAGGTTTGGCCCACTTAGAATTCAGATCAACGTATATATGACAGAGTATCTTCGTAATGCCATACGGGACTTGGCCGGACCGAATTTTTTCCTCCTTTACCGTTCAGCTACGGTATAGCAGGGCTGTTTTCTAGATGAGATGGTCAGACAAAGCTGATTCTAGCTTTCTTTCTTCAAAACTGACAACTCTTCCTCAAGGCATTCGTTTTAGAGATTATCGTCATGAAACGCAGCACATATGCAACAACGATAATTAACCATGCTTTTTCTTGTTGTCTAAGGCTTAGCTGTACTGCAGTTGAGTACGTCGTGTAGTGCTTCGCTGTACTGCAGTTGAGTAAGTCGTCTAGTGCTTCGCTTTCGCACTTTTTTCATCTGGGTCTGTTCTGCATGATGCTGTGCATGGTTGATGAGAATCGCGGTTTTCTTTTCTCGGCTTTCTATGATTCCACCCTAGGCTTATCGATCCATCGTGTTGTTTACATCTGCTTGACGATCGAGCAGCTCACCGTTTCATTTGAAACAGTCGATTAGCTAACAAAGTATGCAATTAGTGACATTTTTTCTTGACGTCTCAAATTTCAGTTTCTCTGTCATCGAAAACAGCAGTTTTCAACGATGATTTGCATATTTTAATTAGCTAATGTGGAATTTTTTGGTTATTTATTTATAAGATTCTGGTGGTCTTATCCTTAAGGAAATTTTTGTCCTTTTAGTTGATAACTGCATGTGTCATGAGTGTCACTTAGCGCCTCCTGTGGAACTTCCTTCGCTGCTGTGGCGGCTTCCAGCAAAAAACGATTGTAAAAGTCTGAAAGAGTGGAAGAAGTGCGCTCGTGCGCGTTCTTCTTAACTCTTCCCTAAAAATCGGTTCGACAAATTCTTCCTTTTCCTCAGTTTTTCCAATTGAAACAGTACTTTCCGCATTTCAAGCAAATGACGGGTTACATAGTATTCAGGATGTAAGCTGCACTGAAGCAAGTACAACCTCTACTGTTGTCGGTATAAGTATTACTCATCCAGATGTACGTGCTATAATATCATGGAGCGTACAGTATGATGCTGTTATAATTGAAGTGACAAGGAGAAGGACGTGTTAGAAGTAAAACCTCCCATCGTTGGACCACAGAGATTGAACTATGTTCTCCGATATAGTGAGCCACCCGTACGGAAATTTCCGGATCGATTGTTGGATGAACTGAAGCAGTTCTTTATATCAAGATGGATAAAAATCTTAGGAGATTAAAAGAAGAAGTTTAATAATGAATGACATGCGATACCAGACTTAACGGCGTATTACTCTACTTTCTTGCGCCTAATTGCCTATGGGGCGATTTCAGCCGTCATCGGCTTTATGCTATTTGATATAAGTTTATCCGAAAATGTTGGAAAAGCCTTCATCCAGCAGTGGATGGAAAAGGACGATGATGAACATCATACAGCCGTGGTCTGCCTGAAATCTCCTGAAAAACATGGGAGTGGTGCGATCACGCTGTTAATCTGGAAAAGACACTTGATATGCTAACCGATGGTATCGAAAACTTCGAATTCTTCATGAGTAAAGTTCGGAAAATTATGACTACCTTCAACTATGCAGAAGACACGAAATGTGTTTTTCGACACGTCACAAAAAACTGCTTTACTGCTGACTACCTTATTATGCAGTACTTCAGTTGCAGCGCATATCTCCGTTAGGATGCCATCAGTCGGGACGGATATTTCTTTGTAGAGATGACGTGTACAGGTGTGTAATCTAACAGCCTCGCGAAAACCATCCTCTTAGGCATAGACAAAGCGAAAAGGAAATGCTGAACGTTTCTTTCGCAGAGGCTGAGATGTTCATACGACACGACCCGAGTTGTCGTCATAGCTTTTAGTTTCCTGCTTCCTTTTGACATCAGCGATGCTTTCTCGTTTGTTGCCTCAGAAGAATTAAAAGGCTTGGTTTCCATTCGGCGCTGCCACTGTGATGCTGGAAAAATGATGGACGTTTTTGGCCCCAAATGTTGTGGCCATGGAAGTGTCTACGTTTTGGTCGCAAATGTTCCATGCAACTCCTGACTTCTTTAAGCATATTCCTTGACAGTGACAAATAACAGGGAATGCTGATAGTTTCGGTTAGAGTTGATTAGATCGTTTTTGTATAAAATATAGAATTTATTTATTTTTTTGGTGATGCTAACCATTCAATCAAACTTTTATATATCTTTGAAATAAGACAAGGACTGGTCTGAGAAAACTATTAAGATGAATTTAGACAACCGCACCTGACCTCGTCTGATAAAACGGCCCATAAAGAAAATGGAAATATTTTTAAATAAATTTTGCTTGGAAAAGCGTGTACTATCCGCTGAGACAGAGGAAATTCAAAACGTAGAAACATCTCAGTTAAGCAGATCTGCCTGAGGAGAAAAATATGACCTTCGTTTTAGCAGAGAGCGTAACGTAATATTTATATGAAGTAGCATTTTTAACGGTCAGGCATCATGAATCTGAATTACTTTGTTGTTTAATCATTTTTAACGTCAGATGACGATGGTTAAAGAGCAATATCTCTAAGATTACTACTTTGAATAGCAGACAAACGCTGCTAGACAGACGATGTTACAGTGTTGTACCGTAGCTACACGTGTGGCTTCGCAAGTATTAACGAAAATTCGGCTAATGGCAAGGAAATGGCGGTCAGCTGTGCACCACCACCTTCTGAGGAAAGGCTACCTCAAGCATGGTACCTGTGAAAATTAAATAGAGGGGGATAGACGTCCCGAAGCTACAGCGCTTTTCAAGAGTCGTTTAAAATTACGTCCACTTATAATTCAAGTAAGTTCTCAAAAGCGGATCGGTTGAGGGTGGGGGGACATCGGGACGTGCACGTGTTTTTCGTCCCCGACTGGCGCAAGTTGTATTCTACAAGTTATTTGAAGTGGCGCATATGACGTGAAGACGAGTTGCTTGTTTCTCCCGCGCACTCGATCAGCATATCGCCGCCTGCCTGTCGGTCAGGCGGTCGATCGGTCGGTGTCCGTGGTCCGGTGAGGTCAGGCGTAAGGCGATTAGCGCCGCCACAAAGCCGTCGGTCAGCGTCGTTACAGCCGAGACGGTTTGTTTCAAACGCCGCCCATTGTGGTCATTGTTTTTAGGAAAAGCGCGCGCTCGAATTAACCCAGTTTCGCATAACGGATTAGTTTCTCTTGTTGTATACAAACTATGTTGTTCAACGATGTTACTGAGTATCGTGTGAAAGCAGCTTCCCTCCCGGTAATGACATCGGCGGGAGGGAACTCGTGCTCGACCTCTTCTTCGTCCACGCGCG